ATAATGCACCACCTTCATCCCAACTGATGTCCTTCTTCTTGCATACCGGTAAGGATCAAAGCATGGTAAGGATCAAAGCATGGCCAATATTAGCCCAACTGTTAGGCTAAAGCGTAGGGATCATTCCTGCTAATAGCGATCTGCGAATTTAGTGCAAAAATGCATGATCGCACCGAAGAGCCTGGGTTTTATTCCTTACCATAGGGATATACGATGCAGCGTCAAATTTGTTAATGACCGTACTGTACATCGCTTTTTGTTATTGCTGCATTGATTTGGATTGTGAATTATAGGACACCGTACTGGATCTCAGTGCTCTATTCGCTGTATTTGGAAATTTTTCCACCGGCGGAGCTGCAGATGCCCGGCTCGTCGTTCATATATTTCATGTACGGAGTGCACGCCTTGCAATATGTCAATTCCGCTTCAAATTTTATACTTTATGGCTTACTCAATCGACAGGTGATCCTTAGCTCCTTCGCTCAATGTTCCCTACAGTGAAAAGTACCTCATGCTGTCTAATTGAGTTTAAGCAGTGAGTCTTCATCGGAACTGAAGCAGTTGTGACATAAAACTGTCCATTAAAAGATTTGAAAAACCGGTCAAAATGTTGCAGAAGTTGAATGATTGTATCTGCTAAAGTTAACTGGAGAATAAACAAAGGTTGGAAAGTGAAAAAAGTACGACTTCATCATGGAAGTTCAGTTTAACAGTAGTATTTTTTTAAAATTACTTTCGTCTTTCCCTCCTTCAGCCAGTGCTAAGCTCCTATTCATATTTTGACCAACTAGTTACATGTATATTATGCATGCCAGTAACTATAACTGCATACCCAGATAGCAACACACCAGATTTGCTGGTGCGATCATGCGTTTTTGTACCATACTTGAAGTACTCGGGTCATTAACTGCATGAATGCTTATTGCTTTATACCTACCTTGTAAGCTCACCAGCGTAAATAAGCGCAAATTTTGCATGAAGGAAATGAATAGTTTCCGTTTAACGATCAGATTCCAATAAAATTTCAGTTTTCTAGCTTTTCTGATTGCCGACTTAGCAGTTTTCCCACCAAAAAAAACTCTCCTGTCTCTGTATATGAGAACCATGCACACATAGGTGCTGAATTTAAATCCTAAACTCATAGATGCACAGAGAATATCTCTGCAAAGTTTCAACTCTCTATTCTTTCTGGTTCCCGAAATCGCTTCACCACCAAAAAATCTGCATATATATTTTTGGACTTCCATACGCTGCATCTAGTGTTCGCAAGTGATGGCATTAAAACGGGAGAGTAGCGCGCGATTTAGGTACGAAATTTCAGTCTTCTAGCTTTTCTGGTTCTCTAGTTGAAAATGGGTAACAGAAAGTGCGAACGCACAAGTACCTACATACACAGACAGCATGCATGCAAAAACGCATAACAAGTCCATTCCTTCAATTAGAGCAAACGTCTTAAGTTAACTAATGTTCCAGCTGAGTGCCAGTCGACGCTCGCATCCTTCAAGCTTGAAGACGAGACGAATGTCGACACCACAGATAACAAGGGCCCATGGCGACCTGACTACCGATGACAACAGAGGAAACTGTCGATGTAAGTATTATTCTTCCATATCTGTCTTATCAGTTTAAAGCCTAGCAAGCACTGTGGATTTCTCATGAGCTGTAACTAGACATGCGAAAATCGCTACGGTTAACGTCGTTGCAAGCTTAAAATGCAACCGGGAATTATTAGAAATACAGCAAAGTAGGGAATCGAACCACCCTTCACATCTGAATGCGACGTGCTACTCACTATACCACCAGCCCACGTACTACAGCACTTCCCGAAACACCTATTATTAGTCTGTCTGTATGTATACTGAAGAACATCGAATATGTAGCGCATACAATTCTTGTCGGCTTTTCGCAGGACTTCCACATCAAACATATGTGCATGTATACCTTTCCATCCCTTTAATATTTTTGCGATTGATTAGTCCGTGAACGTTGTGATTTATTGCTTTTTATGCGTTTTTGCATATATGTAAATTGCAAAAACGCATTGCGACGACCCCGGTATGCGTGCGTGTGTGTGTGTGCGTATGTGTGTGTGTGTTTGTGTGCATCTGTCCGGGCATTTCAACTCGACACCCAGGCAAGCTCCAGCGCCAAAATTTAGCGATTGGGTTCCCCGGCCAGGTGCCACCCCAGGACTGCGGTACCAATCCTCACGCACGTCTAGGTCCCGCACACGAGCGCCTCAAAGTTTTGGGGGGAAAGTCGCTAACTTAGGAACCAGAAAAGCAAGAAAGCTGATATTTTGGAATTATGTCCCCACGACCATGCAGGACTGAAAGATTTTAAATTCAACCCCCAACTTTCAGGAAGTGTTCCTAACTACTTAAATTTGTCAAATCCAGCCCCCCATCATGCGTGATTGCCATGTACGGCCCCGTGGAATTTTCTGGCTGTAATTTGGGTAATTCGGGAACTGAGAAAGCTGGGAACCTGGGATTTCAAGGGAACATTCCTTGTCCAAGTATAGCGTGGGCAATTAACCTCCCGAAATTCGAGGAACAGCATGTCAGAGGTTTCTAGCTAGCGGAATTTCGAGTGATCTTATTACAGAACGAAACACTGCAAAACGCATGATCCCATGGGCCCACCCAGTGCGCGTCGCCAGTGATTCTAAATGCTTGCCACTACATCGCTTTCACCTAGTCGCAAAGTGATGAAAAAATTTCTTACCTTTGAACCGAAGCTTTAGTCATAGTCTGAGACATTGCATCCTGGCCCGAAGAAGCGATCTGTCCTTTAAACCGATTCAGTGCTTCAACAAATTTATTTTTCAGCTTCACTGGTCCATAAATCATCAAACACTGACTTCAGCAGAAGTCAAAAAACTGATAAGCTGATTGATGATGAGAATATGGCTTATCACACCAAGACTAGCAGAAGCAGTAATAATGCTATGAAGCTGCCGATCTATCAGTCCGATGGCAGCAGTACAAGGACAACGCAACTGTTGTTGTCTGGGATAACGGGCAGTACAGATGCGCTGAATGATGTAAAATTGTGACATCATATGGGTTGCATATCTGATCTCCAATTTCCAGCACAAGCCGATGCGAATTATTTCCGAAACAGCGTCGTTTCACTAAACTGAGCGTAGTTTCTGCCAATGTAGCATCTCCTTGCTAAACTACTACATCTCTTGACTGAGTCCAGCCACTTTTTATTTCCAGAAAGAGATTCGTTAGAGAAATTTTTTTTCTAGAAACATATACTGATGCGGAATTTCAAACCTGAATTTAACATTCCAGCACTAGCG